ACACACACACAGACACACACACACGCACACACGCACACACACACACACGCACACGCACACGCACACGCACACATTCTGGTGAACTGCTTGTAAGTCGAAAGTGATTGCGATTTTTAAAAGGCACGTGACATGCCCACATTACAGCCCTGCCTTGACCAAAGACGTTTCCAACAGGGAAAGACAAGCTTATAGTACCATACCACGAAGCTTTTTGTTCTCCTAAAGAAGTACTCACTTTGACTACCGAAGTGACGCCATACTAAGACAATAAACAACGCAACTTTGAAAGCTGGTTCTATCCTGCTCCCGTGATTACACCAAACAAAAGGAAAGGAGATATAAGATTAACTACCATACTTGTCGGTTCGATATAGATCTAGTTCTTTCAAAATTACAAATCCTCGGGGGGGATGGAAAACGAAACCTAATTTCGAATAAATTATTAAACACTATTTTTTGTTTCTCACAAGTTCTGTAACAGCCCTCTTCGACTTCTCCACACACCCACCTCCACCCCTTTCCCGCACCATTTACCCCCCCCCACTTTCCCAATCTCTCACTCAATTTTAACATGCATGTCCGCTCATCCGCTTAAGTCATCTCTAAGCACCACAACGCGTTTCTGTCAAAATTTCATGGCCTTAAACGTCTCATTTTTATCTGCATGCTCTGTGGTGACTGTATTGTTTTACGATGTTGCCAGGGGTGAAGGGTTTTTGTTTGGTTTATCCTTGGAAAGTATGGTCATCGGATTTTTTTCTGGATCCGCAGTCTCATTTATCTGTTTATTTATGTATTTATTCATGTATTTGTTTATTTATTTGTTTGTTTATTTGTTTGTTTATTGATTTGTTTATTTATCCATTTGTTTATCTTTTACTTATCTGTGTTTTTAGCCGCATTATTTAATTTTATGCCAAAATGTGTACCTTTCTTGTTTGAATAGTGCTTTTAACTTCCAGATAATATTGTACACTTTACGAGACAACCCAAGTAAGCTTTACTAGAGTGTGGAGGCTTGACACCACGTCCTATATTATGATAAACGTTGAACATAAATTTTAACCGCTTAACATAATAATATAGAATATATTAACTGAGTCAACAATTTTTATTTTTTGCTTCTCATACGAAGAAACCCCTCTGCGAACCAGCATGATATACATAACACCCAAAAGTATCTGTATGTAGCTTACGTTCTGAGCGCAATATGATAATTCTCTGTACGTTTTGTTGAGATTTAGAAAGTACATTATTATGCTTAACGTCTTTACAAAAAGTCAGTTTAGTAAACTCACTCTTCTGGTTATTAATGTAATGGTTTATTCATAATTGCTGTTCAGGCTCGTTTCACTGTTACGTTGGTATTTTTGTTATTGTTGTTGTTGTTGTTTCTGTCGTTACAGATACCTAAATCATTTTTGTGCTTGTTGCTGTTGTTATTGTTGTTATTCTAGACGTCTAACATCATTATAGTCGTCTTTGTTAGTGTTGTTGTTGTTTTGTTTTTGTTTTTCGTTGTTGTTGCTCTTGTTGTCGTTTTGATGTGCAAAGTTAGTTTTGGAAGCTGGCATCTATGTTGTTCTCGTCATTGTTGCTGATGCTGCGATTGTTGAAATAGTCATTGTTGATGCTGTTAAAAGTCATTGTTGATGTTGTTATAATAGTCATTGTAATCGTCGTCGTCAACTCCCTTAACGTCGCACTGTCTTGATGGTTCCGTTTGCCCTCTAGTCGATCTGACGTCATGTTGTCGTCCTCTACGTCATTGATGTAGCGTCACGAGAGGGGTCGCTTTGTTGACCTCTGAACTCTCAGTTGACCGTCATGACATTTGACTGTGTGCGTGTGTTCTCTTTCCCTAGGAGTGCCCAAGCAAGCCACGAGCACGAATGGAAACCACCGCAGTAGGCCCAGGTCTGGATCAGGTGAGTAGTCTGCCCTTAGCAATGGTTCACGTTTTCACTTGTAAGAAAGGGTTGATGGGGATGTTGGGGAAAGAATTATTGGGAAGGTGTGTGGGTGTGGTCTTAATTATGGCATTTGGAGTGTAGAATGTTAATTATATACCGAGGGTCGCCAAGTAAACTATGGTAAATCACTTTTTTTCAAATTTTACATCAGAGACAAAAAAACAACAACGGATTTTCTTGAAGCGTTTTTGGTGGATAAACTTCATTTTCATAAGGGAGCCTACAAATGCCATGACAGACATTAGCGATTCTTCCGAATGATGCTATCTCATAGCACCAAGAAGTCTGGGAGCTTGCTGTGTTTTCTCCACTCTACTCTATTATTGTCTTCCTGTAATTTGTTTCCCGCTGTAGCTTTTATTTGTCTGCCCTTCTGACTTTCCCCCAGCACTAAATGAATGTAGTTTTGTCGATGTGCTTTTCTTTGGTTTAGTTCTAGGAAAATGTATATTTCAATAGCAGTACCAATAGGTCACGTAACTGCTGTGAGCTACTCTTTACTCAAACAAATTATGAGCAAAGCTATTTGTGTTCTCGCATCTTCTTGTCCTTATAGTATTGGTAACTCCTGCATGTCTTAATTTCTAGTGTGTGTGTTTGAGTGTGTGTTTGTGTGTATTTGTGTGTGTGTGTGTGTGTATGTTTGTGTGTGTGATTGTATGCGTGTGAGTGTGTGTGTGTGTGTGTGTGTGT